TGTAAAATCCAGTGGAGACAGCCAAGGACTTTATTGTAGTATTCTGTATCACTTGAGTACTATTTAAAGGAATAGGCTGAGGAAGAGTTCAAATGAGCCAAGCAGCCTGTGTTCTGAAGGAGAGGTCAGTTACTAAGGAACAATCTGGGAGGTGGAAGCCTGAAAAAGCAGGTGACTTAAAAAGTGGCACCAGAGCATTATTAACCAGAACTACATAGAAATATTGCACGTTATTGATTCTGTTGCTACTGCTTGGGCAGATCATAACTAAATACCAAATTCCCAGTTGAATCCTGGCTGCAGCACAATTGTGAATTTTGTGTAACAGATGCTCTTCACTACTTGGTAACTGCAGGTCCCCTGAAAGTAAGGCAGTGGCATACTTGTGTATGCCCTGATCTGGTCGCTTTATAGTACTCAATGAAGTTTATATTGATGCAGGTCTCAGTTGCTTATGCTACTATAATTTCATTTGCATTTAAAATGTTCTAGGATTATTAAGTGTTTGTAGCCCTTTAGGAATTTAACATATGTTATTTGTCATTTAAAGCATTTTTATGCTGCCTCATAGAAAGGTTATCTGGGTGACTTAAATTGCTTAAATAAGAGAAGAATTGAATACAAAATCATAGAACTATGAAATCAAAGACAATGTAAATATAACAAGCACAAGTTATTGCACCCCCAAAACTAAAACAGTTTTAAAAACAGATGCCCAAGCTACATAATTTATTTAAAAGCCTTGCCTAGTTGGAGTGTCCCTTTGGCTGAACTGTTAAAGCTAACTATTAATTAAATATACTTGTCTGAGCTCCTAAGCCAGTGGTATCCAAACTTTTTCCAAAGAGGGCCAGATTTGATGAAGTGGAGGGCCGACCAAAGTTGTTGAGCTTTTTAAAGGATTTTACCCCAGGAAATAAACTGCCACAGGGGCCGGATTAAACCAACTGGCGGGCCGGATTAGGTCCCTGAAACAAACTTTGGACATAGCTGTCCTAAGCTGTGCTGGGTCTTGACCTTTTCAATGGCAGCTATTAACTTACAGAACTGAAAAATCTGGGCAAAGTCTACTGTGATAAATGTGGTACAAAAGGTGTAAAATAATTGCTTCATAGTGACAATAAAGATTTCATCAGAAAGGTATCAAATTGTGTTTATAATCATTTTCTGGTAATTTTCTCTTCATTGCTTTCACACTGCATTTCAGAAGCATTCTGAGTGCCTCTCACCATAGTGCGAGTTGGAAATCTGATCCTGTCTACTTCCCATGTTATCCCTGAGTATTAGAGAACTTGAGCATATTCCTATAATGTAGGTTGGTGAACGGTTAAGCCACTTGCCATTGGATATGGCCAAACGCAGTGTAGGGCTGGGCTATTATCATACACTCTAACCATTTATTGATTGTGATGGGGAGAAAGGCATCTTCCATCTCCTACGAGTGCTCTCTGCCATTTACAAGGAGTAGAAGGCACATGAAGATGATGCTTCCCGTCACAATTGAGCTTACTCCAAGGCAGCAAAATCTGATGGTGGTCAGGAAATGTTGGGGGCAGGTGCCGGGCACCTGTGATCATTGTTAGAAACTCTAGATGTGTAAGCTGTGTGCCAAATGGCTCCTTAAATTATGGTTACAGTCGCCAAAACAGAATTCCTAGTTACCATTTTGGGGCCAGACTGCTCTAAAGTCATATTTTTCAATACAGCATTTGGTTCCTGAAATTCTGCAGATAAAATATGACAGATAGAATTCTACAGGATGTGTTGCTGGTGTGTGAAAACAAAGATCCAAGGATCCCCAGGCATGCACCTCCAGATGGTGGAGGTGTCAGGCGTCATCCTAGTGCCTGGGCATCTTCACATGGTCGCAAGTGGCTGATAACCAGGTGCAAAATGCGCCTGATGAATTTCAAACATTACCTCTGATGGATCACATTGTAGGTCTGTGAGGGCTGCATGTGGGACATGACTCATGAATTGCCCAAGTGCTATAATGTACTGAGTTATTTCTTATTTAGCAACAGGCAGTAGTTTTACAAGGCACAAAATTTACCTGCTATTAATAGTTCATGGATATAAGCTTTTTCTAACACAGAGAGGGGTGTCTATATTATTATACTGTGCACCTGTTTGCCTTCTCTGGAGTTATTGAAATGGTGCAGGAAGGGGAGATTTATCTTAAAAGTAGATAGAAGAAAAAGTAATAGGATATACTTGGAAGGAAGTGCCATAACGCATCAGAGATTTTTACTTCATGTGGTTCCGGGGGGGGGGGATTATGTGTTGGAAAAATAGTTATGGGGGTGGACTATACCTAAATGGAGCAGAGGGAAGATGAATGAATGAACTAGAATGAATGAAAGGTATAGGAAGAGGTTTATGAGACAAAGGAACAAAGGAGACAAAAGATAAGTCAGAGCCAGTATAGAGTGAGGAAGAGACACTAGTTGGGTGCTGACAGCAGCCTATGTCATATTTCAATACACACTCTCACAGGATGCCTGCTGAAAGATGGACATCTGTACTCCTGAGTTCCAGCAAAAATGTGCCAAATAACTTAAGGAGCTGACTCTTAAAATGCGACAGGAAGGGCTTAGGTGCTAGTTTTTGATTCATATGAATTGTATTGGCTATTCAACCCTGCTCACATGCTGCCCACATTGGTAGCAGATAAAGATCTTACTGGGTGGAGAAGAAACAACTACATCTCCTGAGCTCTTGGGAATAAAGGGAAGGGTGGAGAACTGTTACATTGCTTGGACTCCTTGTATGGAAGATGAGATAATGCCAAAAGAATGATGGTATGTAAATGTAAATAATGAAATTAGTACATGAGCAAAGTCAGATAAAGGAAAGTGAGGTTCACAACAGTAATTTGTAACAGGTAGAGTTGGATGTTATCCTCCATGTTAGGTTTAGAGTATAGCCATTGGACTTAATATGCTGTATTATTAGAAATTTTGGGTTAAGTTGTGTCAATACTGTGAAAAATGAAAGCAGTTTACATTTGAACAGTATTTATAGGTAGTTTACAAGTTGGCGTCAAGTACTTCAGCTCTTGTAAATATTATTATATAAATACATTGTTCTAACAACATTTCCCCTCTTTCTTAGGTAACCTAATTGCAGCAATGAGCAGCAACGAGTGCTTCAAATGTGGGCGTACTGGCCATTGGGCTCGGGAGTGCCCTACTGGAATGGGTCGCGGGCGTGGAATGCGAAGCCGTGGCAGAGGTATTTTCCCATCCCCAAAGCAAATTGTACAAATTGAAAGTAAACATTAGTTAGTCTCTTTTAACAACTCATTTGGTAGCCTAGCCACAGCTGCTAGGAATTCCATGTAGGTGAATAAATAGGTATGTGGCGGGAGGGACTGATCACCTAGTCCTTTAGGTTTTGAAAAGAGCCACAGAGGAAGAAAAGTTTTCCTCCAACACAATAGCGGAAATGCAATGGAAGGGGTGAGCAGAGTCATTCCTTCTCTGCCAGTATCTCTGGGAGATGTCATGATTGGTTTGGTTTGGTTTTTTTACTGACTGACTGGTTTTTTGTGGGCTTATTTACACAGCTGCTTTAATTTTGTTGCTATTTACAGTGCAATAGATTGAGCAAAAAGAAATTGGTATGCTCTTTTTTGTCCCATTATGTGATTTAACTATGGTACATGTAGTACCACCACTGAATTGTTAAATGGCTTTATCTTTCTAAATAGGCTTCCAGTTTATGTCATCATCACTCCCAGACATCTGTTATCGCTGTGGTGAATCTGGTCATCTTGCCAAGGATTGTGATCTTCAGGAGGATGGTAAGTATTTCTAAAGTTTGGATGGGGAGAAACATTGCCAGTTAATTATGGGACGTAACACAATGTTAAGCACATATTCTGCAACTCTCTCCAGGTTTTATAGTCTTGTTTGTCTCCTTTTTCTTATTGTGGAAGCCTGCTATAACTGCGGTAGAGGTGGCCATATTGCTAAGGACTGCAAAGAGCCCAAGAGAGAGAGAGAGCAGTGCTGCTACAACTGTGGCAAACCTGGCCACTTGGCTCGCGACTGTGACCATGCAGATGAGCAGAAGTGCTATTCTTGTGGGGAATTTGGACACATCCAAAAGGACTGCACCAAAGTGAAATGCTATAGGTAAATCAACAAATGTGAATATTAATCCCATTATGCTGACCTTTAGGTCTCTTATAAACAAATTGTGTATTTACAATAAAATATATGGGGTTAGTTAACATTTGGATTATTATTTTTTGCAACGGTTTCTACCGTAATAAAATTTGTTTATTGATTTTCTTTCTGTGTCCCATTAAATTATTTTGTGCTCTTATCATAGAACTCGTGATTTGTAACTTCTCAAGTTGCTAATACCTCATTGCTCACTTGGGTAAACTCCAAAGTTTTTAGGGTCAACTAGGTTTCAGTAAGGGTATGACTGTACAAGTGTAGAATGAGTTTATTTTGTGAAGAAGCTGAAAACATGGGACATAGGAATCATGTCTGCAATGTCCCGAATACTATACAGTAGTGTTTCTATGGATGTTCTTTGTGTGTGGGACTGAAGTTCTGTCCTGTCTGATTGCAGGTGTGGTGAAACTGGCCATGTAGCCATCAACTGCAGCAAGACTAGCGAAGTCAACTGCTATCGTTGTGGCGAGTCAGGACACCTTGCACGGGAATGCACAATTGAGGCTACAGCTTAACTGTTTTCCTTTGTCGCCCCTCCTTTTTCTGATTGATGGTTGTATTATTTTTCTCTGAATCCTCTTCACTGGCCAAAGGTTGGCAGATAGAGGCTATTCCCAGGCCAGTGAGCTTTACTTGCCGTGTAAAAGGAGGAAAGGGGTGGAAAAATCGACTTTCTGCATTTAACTACAAAAATGTTTATGTTTAGTTTGGTAGAGGTGTTATGTATAATGCTTTGTTAAAGAACCCCCTTTCCGTGCCACTGGTGAATAGGGATGGATGAGTGGAAAGAGTTAAGTCAGACCAGCAAAGCCTCCCTGGGTTCCATGGAAGTGATCATATGCAGGAGGAAAACAAACTGGAAGTGTCTGAACTTCCACAGTAACTAATTACAATAATGGCCTTGGATTATCTGACCTCAATAACTGTTATAACACCGAGTATCTGTATCAGGCCTTACCTAGAGCATATAGCTAAGTGGGATAAATAAAACAATGCACATGCCTGTTAATGGCCACGAGAGTGAGGGAGAAATCGAGAACTGAAGTAACAGTAATACAATAAGTGAATGTCTAATATGAGATAACAAGGTAATGGGAAACATTAAATATTTCAAATTAAATCAAACCCAGAACATCAGTGCTTTAGAGCATACACAATTTGGAGCTATTCAGGACTTGCAAAGAAATGCATTTTCACAGAAATCAAGATGTTATTTTTGTATACTATATCACTTAGACAACTGTTGAGTTTCATTTGCTTGTAATCAGTTTTTAAAGTCAGATGGTAAAAGCAATTGAAGTCCTAGAATATAGAAATGTAATTTTAAACTATCAATAAAGCTGGAGGAGGAAGGGGAGTTTGGCTGAAGTTTTTTGTTTGGGGTTTATTTTTCAGATACATAGTACAAATTAACATTACAGAGGCAAATGTGGAAGAATAAAAGCTGAACATTGACTATTGTACCACAACTGTATTATACAAAGTTAATTGCTGTATCATTTAAACTGTAGAATTGTCAAATACATCACTTCAGCAGCAATATTTGCATTCTTTTTTCTCTGCATAGATTGACAAACCGCAGAATAGCCAGTCATTAGGAAAATGATTTTATATATAGTATTCCTAAAGATACTGTCCAAGAACACAATTATATATCTTGTGTTAAAATCCTGTAGTCTTTCAAATTGCACATTAGGAAAACTACATTATGGACAAAGTACATTTTGTGGTGGAGAAAGAAGTATGTGAAGAGTACATTTCATTCAAGTAATCACATGGAACTAGCAGTGAAGGGGCAAACTTGTAGGTGTGTGTCCCACCCTCGCATTTACCTGTGGTACCAAAGGTGGCTTATATCAAACCAATAAATGCTGTCAGCTGATATTGCAGTCAAACAGGCCTGCATGGAATTTCTAAATACTCCCAATGGCAGCAATTAGTGCTAGAAAGCATGTCTAATAATATGTATTGAGACAATGACATCTCAAATAAGAGGAATAAAATTTCATCATGTGGAAATTTCATCATGTGGAAAACTGCTCCTTGTGTGACCAGCTCTTCCTTGGGAGAAAAATGGAGCAGGTAGGAGCCTACCTTTGGCCATTGTCAGTATGAACTAGGAGGAGTGGGAAGTAAGTATATGCACCTTCACCCTCTGATTTTGCAGGTACTTGATGCTTTACTGCTGGAAAGTGACCTAGTAGGAAGTTGAAAGGGACCCATGCTCTGGTTAAATGATTTACCTAGCAATTGATGTTTATGTTAAGTCTTTATTCTATCCAATTACCCATCACATTAAAAGTTTCCACTAACTTGGGAGAAAAAAATTAGGCAATTCTTCAGCCTTTATACTAAAAAAATTCACTTAGCTGGCATGTTATTCAAGACCATGTTACTAGTAAGGGAGACGAGAATGAGGTTGACTAAAGATAGAAGTAGATTCTCTTCTTTCCTGCTGGGGAGAAAATGCATGGATATTCAAACAGCAAAATATCTGGTAACAAGACTTCTTGATCTATATCCCTTAAAGCTTATTGCTAGAACCAGGTCTCTGCCAATGACAACTTCTTTGCAGTCATTTCAGCTCTGAAACGTCAACTGGATTTCAGCTATGTGGAGGCTAATGAGACTTGGTAAAATTTGGTCAGTGCACCCTAAGAGCTGAACATATAGCACTGGGAAAAGGAAGATTCTGCATGGCCAATAGTATTCTGTGACAAATACAAAAAATGGTCTGTTATAAACAAGCAAAGTACCATACGTGTGAGACCCTCTTAACCAACGTCCCATTAATTTTGTTTTTCTTTGGTGCAATACAGTGGAAAGAGCCTAGCAAAGTATTTTTTGTGAGTTCCAATATAACACAATCATTAGCTGAATGAGTAATGCAGGTCTGATGTGTTCTCTGAATACAGATTTCTTTTGCCATAAAAATTGGTTGGTACACACATTTTGATACTGAATGCACAGGTAGGGTAATGCTCAAATGACAAAACCTTCAAAAGAAGTTCGTGATTTTAGTCTTGCGTAGAATTAAAGCTGGAATTTCTGACAATCCAGTAAAAATATTCAAAAAACCTGGATAACAAAAAGGGATATAGAACGTGTCCCTTCTCTTCTGTTCACTCATCCAACCTCCCTTCATGCTAAGAGGAGAGTTACAACCTTGGTTTTACAGCTCAAGATGCATAGCACTACATTCAGGTCAAAGTAATTCAGGAGCAAAGATTCACATTGCTGTTGGACGAAGAAAGTTCACATTTACAACTTGCATGAAAAACTTTGTTATCGGCTTTGTATAGTTCTGTGTACATGCCTGTCATAGAGCTGACATGGGGAACCCTTTTCAGACATTACATCACATTACCATCTGGGGCCAGAAGCTCCAATGAAGGGTAGGGCTTGTGCAAGAGGGTATTGAAGGCTTCATTACGAGAAATTCTCAATACCATCTTCCTCCTGAGTTTTCGGCCAGGATACTCTTCTTTCTCAATGTTGTGTTTTGTTCCTGTGCAATCACAGAAAATTCAGCTTTGTATACAACCTTGCTGAACTACTCATGGTAGGTTAGTATTTCTGTACTACAAATATCCTAAGATTTCTAGTTGGGTAAACATATGTATGCTTGCTGCAATTCCCTGACACTGAAGCTGCATATTCATGCCTGGAAATAAGTGTCATTGAGCACCATGAGATAACATTGCAGAGTAAACAGAATTGGGCTTATGCCTTTTAACATCAGTAATAATTTTATCCTTGGGAATTACCCTTCAGCCTTAATTCCTTTGTTAGAAAACTTGCTTTCCCAAGTAATACAGCTGCCAATTCATTATGCTTGCCGCTATACACTAGCAGCATACTGTTACAGCGGGTTATTCTCTGTTCTTGTGTAACATTTCCCACAGAAATGTACGCTAACATGTCTCAAAATGATTTCCCCTCATTTTCAATTACATATACCAGCTTGACTCTATAAATGTGAACCTAAGGATGAGTTCACATTGATATGCTCCTAGCACTGTATGCACTTGACCAATAGTATGGTCTTAATTTACTTACGGAAGTTCTCCTTGAGCAAGATGGTTCAGGAATTGGTGGGGCCAGGACCCATACCTCACCTAAGGTGGGTCACACATGTGCCACTTAAACCTCATACGTGGGTCCCAGAGGTTGAGGACTACTGCTGTAACACATCATGTCCTCTTATATAACTTGCCTCCTTTCTGAATCCTCCATCCTTCTGCATGTATTGCATGGGCCTATGGGGAATCTACTGCTTCTCATTCTGCAGATAAAACAGGGAGGAATAATTATAGCTTATACCTCACCGTGTGGCAGTGCAAACAGTACATTACTGCTAAAAACACCATGTAGAAAGTACTGTGATTGACTTAGTATGCCGTAAACAATGACTTATCCATCATGACACCCATTCAGTGCTTTGAGATACTGTGTTTATTGAATGGTATTTCACAGTGCTTGCAAGTTAAACACTGCTACAAAAGCTAGCATTGTTCTTACGTGGTTTTGCTTCTACTCATTTATGTGTATGGTTATCACTGATGTTAAACTTTTCCAATGATCCATCATAATTTACTTGAAAATTATAATGCATTGGTAGAAAGATTAAATTTGTATGAGGAATTAACTCCTTCAGAGTAATTTGTGATCAGGGAAAATGATAGAATTAGTAGAGATTTGTTGTTTCCTATGGTTTATTGAACTTGAGCCATCAGAACCTTTCTGTTCTCCATGAACCTTTAGCATGGAATATCTCCACAGAGAACAAGTAGCACTACATTGGCTGCCATTCACATTTATCATCCTTGGGTTTCACAGTGTTTAAGAGGATGGAGAGGGTAATTTATAGGTAGGAAATCACATGTCCAGTCATAAGCTAGCTAGGATCTCAGCTCTAGATACAACGTATTAGACCATCAGAAGCATTAAAGATTACTGATGCTTACATAGTTGGGGTGTATGGAGTGTTAGGGGAGAGGTAGTACTTCTGGTGGGGGACATGCTGTGCTTCTGGGGTAGTTGTCCACCTTTGGTCCCCACCCTGCACCCAGCTCTCACCTGTGACTCCTAAAAGCTGTTGGTGTGTGACAGCGGTCCAGGAATGGCTTTGACTGTCCGGCTAAACCAGGTGAGGGTAGCCATTGTGTCTTCCCTGCATGCAAAGAGACCAGTAGTGGGGCCAATGATTAAGAAAATGGTTACTGCACATGCTGTAGAGGGAAGTGAGGGGCAGATGGAGCTCATCAACCTGGGAAGGTAGACCACCTGGGAGAAGGAAAACTGATCCTAAACCTCCACTGCCTCGCAGGATATCTTCGGGGGATTAGAAGACTAAGGAATAAACCCTACACAGATCCCTAAGTGAAGTCCCTAAGAAGACTGGATGGCGCCTTGTATGCCTCCTTCCAGCAATTCCTGCAGCCCAGCTGGTCCCAAATGTATTGCTCTGCTTTACTTTGATCCACATCAGTGAAGTCAAGAGGAGGGTCTTGTCATCTGGGCAGTCCAGGACCACCATACACACTGCCCAGGCTTACACCCTGGGGAGGTCACTTCAGTGCTGCTAATGCAGCAGTTTGACTTCACCCAGGAGGCACACTACGTCTCTTGAGACAGACAGATGCCAACAACAATACAATTAAAGCTTTGATACTGTGCAGAGTTAGGTACATTTAAGAACACATATTTAAATGGACATGGGTATACATAACACCACAGGACCAGGCAGTATTGCTGCTAGAATGCTAGGTGTTTATTAACATCTTTAGGATCATGCTGTAAAAATGCCTCATTAAACAGAAGGATTTGTCCTCTCCCAGACCTGTAGTTATAGCATGCATCCATCAGATGGCAGAAGAAAGTAAATGCTTTTTGAGTTTGTGAATAGCAAAAAACCTCTAGCACCACTGAAACTTAAAACAATAGTAAATAAGTTCTCTGTGTGGTTTTAGGGGAGGGAGGGAAGAAACACCAGCACCCCCACCCTATTGAGCTTATCATGCTTGGATTAACATTAAAATTCAGTTAACCATACAGCAGTTTGTTTTAGGTGTTCAAAGAACAAATATATTGGTAACTGTTACAATTGTATGACGTCATAGGCCATTATTCTTACCTCTGTATTGCAGAGGAAAGGGATGTTGATGCTGAATCTGGAAAATGAAGTTATCTCAAGGTCTTCCAGTGAATCCTTGGCTCAATATACCGGTATATTCTACTTTTGTTCTTTCCGCAGCTCCAAGTGTACTGCTGACACTTACAATTGGATTTTCTGGACACGACAGTAATCTGAGACTCCTAATTTCAATTGTGGATTGAAACTATGTTCCTATTGTTACTGGTAGTACTAGGCAATTCAGTCTCAAGCTTGGTACTGGGCTTTATTCAGAGTAAAATATGTTTATAATTAGGCTGATAGCTGAATGTCATTGAAGATATTGCATATGAAGGTAAAGCTGCAATATTTTATCCAGAGCAGGACAGTCAAAATTTTCACATTTGCCTTTTGTGGGGAGGCTGAAATCTTTAATATCCGCCCATACTTACTGTGTATTTGCATAACTTCTAGGGTGATCTCAGACAAACCTACCATAGGAAAGATGCATCCTGATTGCTTGTGAGAGAGGAAGGGCAAACTACATGGATTCCAAAGACTAGAACAAAAGACAGAAGCAGACAAGAGGAAAACAACAACTCTTTAGGGCCACAGGGATTACTATTCCCTGGTGTTCAAACAAATCACTTACCAATCATCTGACATCATTGGCTAAAAACAGTGAGAGCAGTCAGGCTGGCTCATTTCATAAAAATCACTTAGGTGGGTACCTGCCAATTTTTCTTCATAACATTGTTTCTAGGGGGGCTTGAGACTGACTTTAAAGAAAGCTCAGAGATTAGGCCCTCTGACCTGGGGCACTAATTTCACAAGTGTCATTGTGCTCATAGAAGCGAGATTAGAAATGCTTGGACTAGCACATGCTGGGCCAGAGAAGGGCTGCTAACTAAGCAGTCTTTTAATATCAATAGAAGAAGGTGCACATTTGACACCTCCCTGTCAGAAGAACGGAATGTTTTATATGTAGGTGCATGGGCTGGGCGGTAGGTGTGCCTGCTGAATATCTGCTTGTCACATAGGCTTTGGAAACACAGAACCTCTCCTCACCCCCGTTGTGCCAAATAATTATGCCTCAGCGGCTTGGTTTTGCAATTGTGGAGAGCAGCCACGGTGCTTTTCAAAGCACTGCAACTAGGACTTTACTCTCTGTGTGCTTTAAAAAAAAAAACGACGTCCAGGCTTCCTCAACCTCGGCCCTCCAGCTGTTTGGAGACTACACTTCCCATCATCCCTGAAAACGTCCTGCTAGCTAGGGATCATGGGAGTTGTAGGCCAAAAACATCTGGAGGTTCGAGGTTGAGGAAGCCTGAAAAAGGCCGAAATTCAACAAAGTGACGTTTCTCATCTCTGCATCTCCATCGGTTGAACTTCCTCTGATCACAAGGGGGGCACGTAACAAAAAGTCGCTGCGCGGAGCGCTCCTTTTCAGTGCTCTTCCGTGACACACCGAGCAAGCTCGGTCTTCCCTGGCCCGTGTTTTCCCTCGCAAAGGCTGGCTCCGATCGGGGCTCAGGGTCTGTCTGGGTCCGCTGCTGCTAGGAGAGCAAACAGAAGTCAAAATCATGCAGCATTAAAAGCCCTGCTGCGGGGTGGGGAATCAAGCGCTTTTGCAGCAGAAACTGCAAAAGGCGGTATACAAATTCAATGAGCACTGCGAACTTTCTAGCCCCGTTCCCCGCTTAGCTGTTGCCTCATTAATTTCTTCCCATCGCTTCTCGCCCCGCATGAAAAGCACCCTGAGACCTAGAGCCGGAAGTTGCTGCAATTGCAGCACCCCCGCGCTGCTTTAAGGCCAGCCTCTTCCGGGGCGGTGTCCGCTGCGCGCGTGCGCCTCCACCGCCTTGCCGCCAAGGAGCCGTTTCCGCCTCGGACCCCGCGATCGGCGTAGCTTTACGTTTCTGCGGATCTTCCGCCATGGTGAGTGAATGGGCGGGCGCGCTCTCGTATTTTTATTCGCGCGCGCCCTCCCCCGGCGCCTCAGCCAAGTCGGTGCTTTTCTGGGCATCCTCCGGGGGCTTCATTCCCATTTCCTCTATTTCTCTTTACTTATTTCGCAACAGTAGTTTGCCGTGTCCCTTTTTTTGGGGGGGGGGGCTGCATTATTTCGGTATTGGGTTTTTTTTTTTTAACTGCTGCAAGCTGGCCTGAGCGCTACAAATACAGTGCAAGGGTGGGATATCAACATTTTCAATAGACAAAAATTGCTGTAAGACCATTTCATAGCTTCTTGTTCCTGGAAATGATGCTGAACCTGTTGAATTTCTGTCTCTCCTGAGTATTTGCCTTACTACTTTGTTTTGGAATGTTAAAATGGCTAAACACGTTGCATACATAAATAAATGCACACAGCAGTCTCTTTTATATTTTCACATAGCTGTCATCTCTTGGCTCTGGGTAACCTCACACCATCAGTTCTGCTTCATTCCTCTCTATAGTGACACTCAAACCCATCATGACCAAACGAGTTCTTCAAAAGCAACAAACAGACGGGTTGTGCTGGTGTGGCTAAAAACTGAGGGTGGTATCTCTATTAAACTTGCAAGCAACACGTTTTATAGTGGGAAATGCATAAATGTCCATATTCTTCAACTGCTTAGTTAACTTTAATGATCAAACGATTTCTACCCTGTGTCTCAGCTTCATATATGGTGGAAACATTAATACCTCACCATTTTTTATATATTCCAAAACAGTTGACTGGCTCTTTTTATCTTTTTGAAGACCTTAACAGCTGCTGGGACTTGGTTACTGATGCAAAAAAAGTCCTCACCCTCAAGTGAATGGAAACATGGTTCCATTCACGTGTCACAAGCAAATTCTGGCTATGAGTTGGGATTTGTTGAGAATGAAACCAACTGTGGACCCTGGTTCAGATGTAATAAAGAGCCAGAGATGGTAGTTGTTTTCTCCCAGTGCAAGTGGGAAGGAGCAAATGATTCCTTTTAGAAACATTCACAGTGATCTATTAGCTATAGTTCATCACAATGTGTGGGCGGTAGTGTTGAGAGGGTTGTCTAATTAGGTATAATATATGTGGCTTAGATGCTGCTGCACTATAAAGTTTACCTAGGGGTACCTATGGGACCGCCTCTCCTGGTATGTCCCACAGAGAAACTTACGATCTTCAAACAAAAACATCTTGGAGGTCCCAGGCCTCAGAGAGGTTAGGCTGGCCTCAACCAGAGCCAGGGCTTTTTCGGCTGTGGCTCCAATCTGGTGGAACGCTCTGCCACAAGAGACTAGGGCCCTGCGGGACTTGACATCTTTCCGCAGGGCCTGCAAGACAGAGCTGTTCTACCAAGCCTTTGGCCAGGGCACAGCCTGACTCCCTCCTTTGGCAATCTTCACAGAACTCTAGCCCGGTGGTTGCCATCAATTTGATTTGAATTAATTTTATAATGAAATGATTTTAGAATGTTGTATTATTTTATTGTTGTTAGCCACCCTGAGCCCCGCTTCGGCAGGGGAGGGTGGGATATAAATAAAATAATAATAATAATATGTAATAATAAGGCTCTATGGGAAATCTGACCCTTTTACCATCTTGATTGGCTAGGTTTCTACAGTTATCTTTGCATAATATTCTCTAGACTTATGTTTTACTGGTATTCAATTCTCAAATAAAACCTATTCTCCCACTCTCTCATTTTAGGCTCGAAATGCAGAAAAGGCCATGTAAGTAGTCTGAATATTGATATTTTGTCACTGAGAATATTTTCAGCATATTATAACAGTTAAACTGTCTTCTTCCTTTGATCCATAACCGTTTAAGAAACATTACTTCGCACTTCTGCAGCTTACAATATGTTAATCTTGGTATTCTGCCTGTGCTTATTAGTTACATTTTGGACATGGTGTTTCAGACTGTGACAAAAGTATTCCTTTTAAAACACACAGTTTTAATATTTTCTCCATTTCTTTATAAGGCTTATGTTTGGTTCTTCCCATGCTAAATCATATAAATGTGTGACACATAAGTTATGAGTATTATGATTGCATATTGTCTGTTTGACGTGGAACTTTCTTTCTTTTAGGACGGCCTTGGCGAGATTTCGCCAAGCTCAGCTAGAAGAAGGAAAAGTTAAGGTAAGGCAGAAAACCAGTTTGGCTTCTGAGGAGGAAGATTAAAGGAGCAGTTTCTAATAATGTAGGGGTAGATCAGGGTTTCTCAGACCACTGAAAGTCGTATGCAACCATAGCAGGCAAACTTCTAGAACATTGGAACGGATGCATTAATACATGACTGTTGACCTAGTCATATGTTTCTGCTTATCTTTCATTATTCTGCAAAGGAAACTGGAAGTGAGTCTCCAAACTTTTGCCTCCTTGATAATTGTCTTACTAGAGAATCAACTATTGAGCATTTTGTTCTTGGCGTGATTATGAACTCGAGTCTTCCACATGATACCATGCTGTACCAATGGACAGCCATGTGATGTCTCATTTTAACTTTTACAAATCAATGCCTTTTCTATCTTGTAAAACAATAAAGCTGTTACATTTTGTTTTATGTTTGTGTATTGTTACACTCACAAGCTGAGGACAGGTTGCGGCATAAAACAAATATAAAAAATAACAACCTGTCCTGCTAAAAGTGACAAAGGGAGTGATGGGGCAAAGGAAGGTTAACTTTAGGAAAGGCAGGAAAACATGAGTGTAATCCTCTACCAAAATCTGTAAGGAAGATTCACCCATCTTCTGTAGCCCTGTTTCCCCCCCTTTAGATTTTAAAACTGTCCCATTCTCATTGAGGTGGATCCAGAGTGTCTATTCCATGAATGGAAAGGCTCCTCTCTTCTCCAATAGACATCAAACCAGTTAGATGAAAGGGAAAGAGGTGATTATTGGTAATTTCTGCCTCTTCTTCACCCTGCAAGCTCCCTTTGCCATCTTCCCTGACTGTTCTGGGGAGTCCAACTGTCTGGAACATTTTGGGGGCAGGGAGGGGTACAGGGAGAAAGAAGAGCTGCCCAGAGCTGCTTCCTCCACTTGTACTTGCAGAAATGTCCAGTTAGCAGAGTTCCACTGCAGGCAAGACAGTCCAGTTCCACCTAAATATTAAATACAGTGGTACCTCGGGTTACATACGCTTCAGGTTACAGACTCCGCTAACCCAGAAATAGTGCTTCAGGTTAAGAACTTTGCTTCAGGATGAGAACAGAAATCGTGCTCCGGCGGCGCGGCGGCAGCAGGAGGCCCCATTAGCTAAAGTGGTGCTTCAGGTTAAGAACAGTTTCAGGTTAAGTACGGACCTCCGGAATGAATTAAGTACTTAACCTGAGGTACCACTGTACTTGTTCAACTGTCAAATGTCCCCAATGGTGTCTGTAGTTTGGTTGTCCAGACAAAAACTACAGGGTAGCAGTGGTGGCACCTTATCAATAAAGCAGCCTTTGGCATCTGTTCTGACAAGAGAAAGTATTAAGATAATAGCAGCAGTGCAAAATTAATGGCTGCCTCTATTGTGACAGAAGGGCAGACATGCACTATTATAGTGGGGAAAAGGGTAAATATTTTTGACCCAAGAACTCACTGTCTGATATTTTGTTAGCCTACATTAAACCTGTAAGCTAGGGATGATATAAAGTGTTAATCATACTTGGAGTAGTTGGATATCACCTAGGAAAGGTTTTACTGCATGTTAAGGCTCATAAAATAACTTGTAAAAAATATAACTGCCGCTAATGCCAGCAATTTCAAGAATTATTGATTAAAAAAACAACCATGCAAACTGCTTAGGGTGCAGATTTTTGTGGGAAAGCAGTGTGAAACCGAAAACTTATGTACTTTCAAATTTTCAAAATAACAGCTAGAAAGTCAAGGTGGCTTCCAGAATTTGAGTGTGAGACACATGGAATTATCTGCCCCCCCCCTGGGGTTGAAATAGGAGGGAGAGAAGCTTCAATCCCAAGAGAGATATTTGGAATAAGTGCCTCAAAAATGTTGATGGACCCTAAAGCAGTCTTATTTAAGACTTGCCCTGTATCAAAGAGATGTTTGCTACCTTATATTTGGTCAACAGCAGCTTGACCAGAAAAGGGTTTCCAGTATGCCTGAAAGCTTTGACTCACAAAAGGAAATTAATTTCAGAAATCCAGAGCAGCCACTGGTAGTGCCACACTGTGTCCAGGTTGTTTGTATGTGGTGCACAAAAGGAGGAACCAATATTCTAATGGCAGTGTGAGGCAAAGGAAATTAGACTCTTGCTTTGTGCATACTTGGAACTATTACAGAGATGTGGAAAGTATCGGGAAGGAAATGTTGAGAGTTGCATTGGCTGTATGTGCAGACTGTGAAAATACAGAAAATACACAAATCTGAAGATACCATAATCATATTATATTTCTTTGTTTCAAACAGGAGCGAAGGCCTTTTCTTGCTTCAGAATGTAATGAACTGCCAAAAGCTGAGAAATGGAGGCGGCAGGTATTTGCTGAATAACAATCCTCTAAGTATATAAATGAACCCCTGATAACATAGTTCCAACTTCTGTCTATTTATTGAAAGACAGTCGTACCTTGGATCTCAAATACCTTGGCTCTCGAACAAATCAAAACGATCAAAACCCAGAAGTGAGTGTTCTGGTTTTTGAACATTGTTTTGGAAGGCGAATGTCCGACAGGGCTTCCGCTTGGCTGCAGGAGCTTCCTGTAGCCAATCAGAAGCTGTGCTGTGCTTTGCTTTGCTTGCCGAACGTTTTGGAAGGCGAACTGACTTCCGGAACGGATTCTGTTCGACTTTGAAGGTACGACTGTACTCATGTATTTCTCTGCTTTGTCACGGATGAGGAGATGGTAAACGAAAAAGATGCAGTAGTGGACAGGCCTGCAGGAATTGGTCTGCACATGCTGATAGCAGCAACAGGTGGGTGGGGAGCTGTGGGAAGGAAGAGCATGCTCTGTTCCTCCTCCCAGTCTGCCACCTGAGGCAAGGGGCTCACTTTGGCTAGTGGCTTGGCTAGGCCTATGCACACCACGGCATCATTGTGTTAAACTACAAACCAGCTGTTGTAGTTTAACAAAACAGTTCCAAAGTTTTAAATCTATGAATTGTCAAAATTGGTTGTCTGCGAAACCATTTCTCAGTCATGGGAGAGAAAATGTTGGAAATGCTCTTTTTGAATAATGATTGTATGATGATAAATAGCTTTAAAATTATTATTTATTAAACAAAAACTTTTTAAAGGGATTGTGTCATACAGCCTTAAAATAGATGCTGCTGATTTGTTTGAGGAAAAAAGTAATTGTCATATAATGTCTCTCTTTAAACAGATTATTGGTGAAATTTCCAAGAAAGTGGCACAAATTCAAAATGGTAAGTTTCTAATGCAGGGGCGGTGTTAATATTCCTAATGGAGGGGCAGGGTTAATATCCTTATGAGCCTGCAGATTGTACTTTTCACTAACATTTCTTACACTTGAGACTTCTTTTTATCTCTGACCCTGAAGAGCTGCCACTGCTCTGAGGTCTAGGCTTGTGATAGTGAACTGATAAAAGGAGCTACAGCTCCATGGATCGGTGCTGGTTCATGAGCCATCAGCTGTTACTCTGCGGTAACTCCACCTCAATCCAGGTTGGGTAGGACACTTCAGGGATCAAATATGGCCCTGCTCCCTGCCTGGCACATTGCGGGGTGGAAAGAAATTGCCAGTCTACCACATCAGATAGTTTGAAAAACATTGTCCTACAGTACCTGGAAAAATTCAGAATAGAGAATGTATATCAATGACTGAAACAGCTATTCCCCCCCCCCATTTCCTTTAAAAAAGCTGGCTTAGGTGAATTCAGAATTCGTGACTTGAATGATGAAATTAACAAACTCCTAAGAGAAAAGGGGCACTGGGAAGTCCGGATAAAGGAGCTGGGAGGACCCGATTATGCAGTAAGTATATAAAAATTATTAGATCCATATGTAGGAAAGTGCAAACACAATACAAATTTATCTGTTATAATTTGATAAATAATAACCACTGCCTGGTTCTTATCATTGGGAATCTCAGGTGAGATACCCACACAGTGGCTCTCAATACCATTCACCACATGGAAGCAGAGAAAGGTTCAGATAGTATACTGTTCCAGAAGATAAGGCTCAGTAAAACAGTTCTGGACATGGATAGATACAGCTTGTAGGCTTTTCCAGATACAGATACCTACAAGTACAAGGTATCTCTGTTGCTTTAAATAAGTTCAGCAATTCAAGACATAACACTGAACATGGCTAAATGACTAACAGACAGACAGATAAACTACAGAGTAACAGAGTACTGAGCTGACATATTAATCACAGATGTAGTCTGGGCACTAGGCCATTACCATAGCAACTACGTTGGCTGACCTTGTGATTAGCTCATCATGGGGTGATTTACACTCATGAAGGAAATTAACCCATTCTCATACCAAGTTATTCTAAGACTTGTGTAAGTGGATATCCACATAGGTAACTCAATAATTCAAATATATTGTTGGGTCTTCCATGTTATAAATAGTTTGTGTGAAGTTCTCCAGATTTGACCATGCCAATCTCGGTCTGCCCTAACCACATGAAACTCTGCCTGTACTCACAAGTTCTGTCTAATTAGCCACACAAGAGGAAATACTAAGCACTGTGGCTTTTACCCCTTTCTTCCCCCTCAAGAGAATTGGTCCCAAAATGCTTGATCATGAAGGGAAAGAAGTTCCAGGAAACAGGGGTTACAAATATTTTGGAGCTGCTAAAGATTTGCCGGGGGTCAGAGAGCTTTTCGAAAAAGAACGTAAGTATTTTTGTGCATGTGGCATATGCATTCCAGAAATTAAATCTTTTTTTAAAAAAAATTATTTATACTTTTCAAATTTATACATTTCATTAATTTTACAATCATTTTAACATTTCAAAGTTTGACTTCCTTCCCCCTCTTTCTGTGGTTCTTTAAATTTATTTTTTAATACTTTCTGCATATCCAAATTCATTTAATTTGCTCATTTAATTATCTACTTTAAATATATACTCTTATGCAACTGCAGGTTATTACAATAATCCTGCCAATGTTTTTATCCGTTACTATTCAATAAACCATTTCCATTCTTTCATAAAAAGTTTGTTATCTTGATTTCTTACTCTTCTGTTAAGTTTAGCCATTTCTGCATATTCCATAAGTTTTTGTATCCATTCTTCCTTTGCTGGGACTTCTGCTTCTTTCCATTTTGGGGCAAGTAGCATTCTTGCTTCTATAGTCAATACATAAATAAATTTCTATACAATTTAGGTAGTTCTGTCCCTATAATTCCCAAAAGAAAAGCTTCTGGGTTGTTGTTTTTTACAAAGGTTATTTTAAACATCATTTTCAATTCATTATATATTATGAATAGAGAAATTAAATCTAGTATAAAATTTTACAGAGTAGCACACGTTTTCCCGTAAAACGTGTTGGGAGTTATTTTCCTGTAGTTTCCCCTCAGTTTAATGCAAATGGTAAGAGGAGGAGAAAATACATATGCAACTGATTGCCCTGCTCAATTATTGCAGTGCAATTGCTACTGTTTATTTTTTATTTAAAATTTACTGTTTTAATTTAAAAACATTGATGGAATAGGCCCTGGTATCTCCAGGTAGAGCTGGAAGTTCCTCTTTCTTACAGTCATTGCTGGCATGTTTCCTACGGATGCCTTACCCAGTGGTTTGAATATACTGTAGGTGTCCTTGGCTATTTGGTTGAATCTTAATGACTAGCTAGTCACAGTAGGTAAAGCTATGTGCTTCCATTTTCTCTTACTTGGGTGGAGAGTGACTTTGCATTTGTTCCTTCAGCCCTTCCTCCTCCCAGGAAGACACGAGCTGAACTTATGAAGGCTATTGATGCAGAATACTATGGCTACAGAGATGAGGATGATGGTGTCCTGGAACCGTTGGAGCAGGAACATGAAAGGAAAGGTAGGCATGGTCAACCTCGGATCAGTTGTTGCTTTGCTTAGTGTCTTTTACAGGAAACCCTGCTTCTAGTTACCTGTAAGACAAAGAAGTACAGTGGTACCTTGGTTCTCAAACGACAAAAACCCAGAAGTGTTCTGGTTTTTTAACGTTTTCCGGAAGCCAAACATCCAATGCGGTTGTCAGCTATCGTTTCCAGGGCACCTTCACCAATCAGAAGCTGCGCCTTGGTTTTTGAACATTTCAGAAAGTCAGTCAGACTTCTGGAACGGATTAAGTTTGGCACTTTTGTTTTTGTGACTGTGTGGAACCCAATCCAGCTACTGACTGACTGATTGATTGATTGATTGTGTGACTGTGGAAATAGATAAATGACTATCATCAGTGCAGGTAAGAATTTTTTCCCCCCTAATAATCTTCAATACTGTCTTATTTATTTTATACTACAGTACATTGATTATTGCTTTCATTTTATGAATCAGTGGTCTTGTTAGATGGTAAAATTCACATTAATTTGCTGTTTTAGTGGTTGTTTTTAAAAGTCTGTAACGGATTAATCCATTTTTGCATTACTTTCTATGGGAAAGCGCGCCTTGGTTTTGGAATGGACTTCCAGAACAGATTAAGTTTGAGAACCAAGCTACCACTATAAAACAGTTCAGTTCTTTTCAAAGGATCTTATTTCTGCTTCTTATTTAAGAAACGGTAGTGGGCAAGTCGTTGAGGACACATCTTCCATTTTGGCATTTGCTGTGTATTAAATACTTCAGTAGTGTTGCTTCTGTCTCTCCATGTGGATTCTTACATCACAGGAGTGTGGCTGTTTGTCTGTCTTGCCCTGTACTGACTGCTCTGAATGGCAGGGTCTGAGGCACAGTCTTTTCCATCACGTGCTACTTGATTTCACCCCCTCCCCACCCTTAGAAAAATAATAATTAGATGCCAGGGATCTATGACTGTGTGACCTTCTGCATGTGTTACTAAGGTATGTCCCCTTCCCCAAATTAAGATTCTGTTAATATACAGTGGTGCCTCGCAAGACGAAAATAATCCGTTCCACGAGTCTCTTCGTCTAGCAGTTTTTTCGTCTTGCGAAGCAACCCTATTAGCGGCTTAGCGGCTATTAAGCGGCTTAGCGGCTATTAAAGGCTTAGCGGCTTAGCGGCTAAAAGGCTATTAGTGGCTTAGAAAAAGGGGGGGTGAGCGAAAAAAAATCGCAAGACATTTTCGTCTTGCGAAGCAAGCCCATAGGGAAATTTGTCTTGCGAAGCAACTCAAAAACGGAAAACCCTTTCGTCTTGCGAGGCATTCGTCTTGCGGGGCACCACTGTATGTTGACTGAATATTTGCAGATCAATTTATAAGCCAGTTTTAATCAAGCTTGTGTTTACTTGTTGTTCACGTTATCCACTTTTTTATACTGGATAAAATAACCTGTAGTAAGCTTTTGCCTAAGTCAATGCCAGATGCTATTATTTTACAAATTTTGTCTGACAATTCAACTAATTTTTTTGGCGCTTGCTAACAACATTCCTGTTTAGACAAGCCTGCACAGGTGCTTAGAAAGCTGAGGTAATTTTAATCTGTTTTACTGTTTTAACTCTTGTATGTTTTAAAACAGGGTTGTGATTCCCCCCCCCCTTGATTTCACAGTTTTATCTTTTGTAAACCGCTTTGAGGGTTTTTGTTTTTTTGCATAAAGCGGTATATAAATTATTAAATTAAAAAAATCAGTTAATCAGTATTGGAGCTTTTCTGCTACAGAACTGCAGGTTTTTTTCCTCCTAAAAGGCAGTCAGATGTCCGTACTAGTGATATTGGTCTTGTTTTATTCAGAAAATACATCTGAAATTTATCTGTTCCCTCATCTGGATCTGCTTCTTTGGCAATTCACTCCAATAAATAGATCTCCGGTTATGCTGATGATAATCACATGGGGACAGAGGAAATTAATTCAAGTCTTTTGGAAAGAAATCAGCCTCAAGAAAATTAGATGAGCTACTAGAAGGAAATAACTAAGCTGCTGCTGTTGATTATGTCAACGCATTATAAGTTGGCATGAACTATCCCCCAACACAGTTGCCTTCTTGCCACCATTTTGGTACTTTTAAGTAAGATAAATCTTCTGCTGTTTTGCTTATTGAGTTCAGAAGATTGGTTATTGCCTTTTGAAAAATGAATACGCTAGTAATTTTACTTAGATTCTTTTATCAGAAGCATTTCATTGACATACTACATTACCTGGGGTTTGAGGTTTGAAGGCTGTACATTATGAGAATCTGGCTTGCTATGCTCTGTAGACCTTATTGTGGGGAAGAGTTGTACATCTCTACAGGAATTAGCAGAACTTCTTGAATTACTGTTACATATCTAAGAGTATAAAATTCAACACCTGTTCAACTAATGACAAACTGGCGTATAAGTAGCACATGGTTCTGAAAGTAGCATTCATCAGTTCTCCGCAGTAAGTTCATGCCTTTCCCAAGTGTGCTTTGATCCTACACCATGGCTGTATCAACCTTCCTTTCATTTCCTGAGACTAAGCCCTAGTGTTCAGCTAAGTATCATTCTCATTTCACAATTTTGAGTCTTGCTGTACTCTTCTCATTTCAGCCTGTTACTCTATCAAATGATGATGCAAGCTGTCTGTACTTATGAATATTTACTCGGAAGTAAGTTCCATTGGTCCCAATGACACTTACCTCCAAGTTAATTTGCATATGTTTGTGAACTACAATTTGGTATTAGTAAACCCATTGTGTTTTCCAGTAACTTCTTCACTTTTTTTCTAGACGCTTGCATTGTTTGTACAGAAGGCATATAGAACAACAGGTGTGGTTCAAGTGTTTTTTTTAATTACATACATAAATTTTAAGATACCTATATTATTCTATTTCTCCTTTCTAACTATGGCCCCTGGTTTTGAAGTGTCTTTGTATAGTTTGCTTGAAATATTTATTTTGCCAAAGGCAGAAATGATGATCCAGAAAGTATGAACATTTTACTTCAGCTAAAGGAGAGAACAGTGAATTGTGACATGTTTGAACAGGTCTCTTTTAGGCAGTTCTGAAAAGCTAGATTTGGCAGCAAGCTCTGGAACACCCAGTTCTGGAGCTATATCGCAAAGTTTGGCAAGCTGGAAAAGACTCTTAAATATGCAGGGGCTGGTTTTTGGTAGCTTGTTTTCAACAGCACTAATTTCCAGTTTTTTTTCTGCCTTTTACTCTGCCCTGGTGCTCCAACGATGGTCTCAAGCTTGCTTGTTGCCTGATTCCTGGCCTACAGTGTCCTGTGTGCGTAGACTAAGTGTAAAGGTAAAGGTAACCCTGCCCATACGGGCCAGTCTTGACAGACTCTAGGGTTGTGCGCTCATCTCACTTAAGAGGCCGGGGGCCAGCGCTGTCCGGAGACACTTCCGGGTCACGTGGCCAGTGTGACAAAGCTGCATCTGGCGAGCCAGCGCAGCACACGGAAATGCCATTTACCTTCCCGCTAGTAGGCGGTCCCTATTTATCTACTTGCACCCGGGGGTGCTTTCGAACTGCTAGGTTGGCAGGTGCTGGGACCGAGCAACGGGAGTGCACCCTGCCGCGGGGATTCGAACCGCCGACCTTTCAATCGGCAAGCCCTAGGCGCTGAGGCTTTTACCCACAGCGCCGATGGTGCTATAAATGCAGGAAGCTGGGAGGTTGAAACTTCCTGCAGCAAAGTATTTTCCATCTTGAACAAACACTCCCTGATAGAATCTCCACTGCTAGAAATGGATCCAGAGCTGCCCCAACCTACTGTGTTACTCTCACTCAACTGTAAATGTTATAGCAGTACAGAATTGCTTGTGGTTCTGAGCCATTTAAGGCTTTGTAGGTCAAAACCAGCACTGTGGGCTTGGGAACTCACTGGTAGCCAGTTCAGGCGTTCCAGGATCAATGTAATATTCTCAGACCACCTTGCCCCAGTGAGCAACCTGGCTGCTGAATTCTGCAGTAGCTGAAGTTTTCAAACCATCTTCAGAGGCAGTCCCATAATTACATTGCCGTAATCTAACCTAGAGGTTACTTCATTCCTTAATGAGTTGTTAAAAATAGTATTAAAAACTGAGCACATACAAATGTATGCTAGTGAAGTCAGCCTAGCTTTTGTGAACAGGAGTCACACTTCATAAACTTGAAAGAATTCTTTATGCATACAGTACAGGAAAGGCAAATCATTTTAAAGTATAGTAAACCATTTTAAAGTATAATAAAGTTCAGGCTTTCTCAGAACTCATAGCACTGGGTAAAAGGTAAACAAGGTTTAGAGGGAGACACTGTCAGTTTCTATCTGGATAAAGTTGAGTAATGTGTGCTGCAGACTTGAATCAAAATGGGGGACAAGGTGCCGGGCAGGAGGGATGCTTCCCTTACTGTTCAGCTGACGGAAGGCTATCAACTGAGTGACACTCTTGGATAGTCTGTTGTAACTATAACATGAGAAAACCCTGCCCGTAACTCTTTGTAGGATTGCCGTATGTTTCTGCTAATTGTACCCTTCTAAATGCCTTCTCCAATGCTACTGTTCCCTTCTCAAGGAAGCAAAGTTCAAACAGTGCAAGTAAAAACTGATAAATACTTTTGTGGATTCACCAAAAGTTGACTCTTATAATTGACTCTGAAATGAAAGAGCTGGTGCTTTTTGAATTGAATTTGGTCAACCTCTTAAAATCCAAATATAAAGTACTACTTTTTTTACTTGCCCAGTTATTGCAGAAGCAGTGGAAAAATGGAAAGCAGAGAGAGAAGCGCGGCTTGCAAGAGGTGATAAAGAAGAAGAGGAGGAGGAAATAAACATCTATGCAGTAAATGATGATGAGGTATTGTGCTGGTTTCAGTCCTGCTAATAACAGCATGCCATGAATGTAGAAGAATTCATTAACAGTAAAAGGCAGAGTGGCATAAACATTAGCAAACTTGGATAGGCCTGCCCGTTTCAGTGTCTGTGCATTTTGGTCTCTTTATGTATGTGAGAAGTGCAATTTCTTTGCTACGTGGATAAAATGTGACTGTCAGACGCTGGGGTGTGTTTCTGAATTTGGAATGAAACATCAAGATGAATCAAGTCTTAATTTAGGCTGTACTTCCTGCTGTGTACTGGTTACACACAGAGCATGCATGAAGCCTGCTGTGGACTTACGGCTGTGTGTTTGTGTGGTTTAAAGAAAACACTTTGGCTTTTTATAATGGAACTTGAAAGCTAGTCAGTTTGCATTTGACCAAGTTAGGAAATGTAGTTAACAAAAAACCTCACCTATTTTCCAGCTTTGGAGAAATCTGACTTTTAAAGCAGCTCAGCCCAATGCGTGTTGTCTGAATTTGTATAAAATGGGTGCAGCAGGAAGATGTAGACTCCCCCCACCCAGCGCTTCTCAAAGTGGGAGTGGGAATGAAGGGGAGACTTTCTTTCCTTCGTTTACTTATTCCATGCATGCACTTCACCTTATCACCTCCAGCATCAGAGTTGGAAAGGAGAAATGAGGGGAGGCTTTCAAAGCCCTCTGTGATGTATTCCATTCTCCTTTGCACCTCAACATTGGAGGTGTAAAGGAGAGCATGGGGAAGATTGCAAAGGGCTTTGTGATCCCTGTGTTGGAGGTGACCTCAAAGAACAGCACAGGGAGCAAGAAGCAGTCCCCACTGAATTGAAACTGCTTCCCTTTTTCTGAGCAAGGTGCACTCCTATCTACTGCCCAGCACCTGATATTCTTTCCTACAGGACAGTTGATGCCATTGGCTTTGTGGCAGGAGTGTGGACAGTCCAGCTAGAACAAAAGCAGGCGCCTGGCATTGACTTTTTCTTCACTGGCATGATGCGTGTGGTTGCATAAACTGAATATTCTAAATGTATTGCAGTCTGATGAAGAAAGCGGAAAGGAAAAAGAAGGAGAGGACAGTCAGCAGAAGTTTATTGCTCATGTCCCAGTGCCATCACAACAAGAGGTAAGGAACAAATAGAAAATGAAACTTGTACAGGTACATTGAACTTCCAGAGGAATAGCTACATTGGCCTACTCCAGGAAAAAACATTTTGTGGCACCTTTTTGCAGCTACTGTGTTTTCTCTGTCATTCCTGACTTCATTAGTGCATTTTGCAAATTTATGTGAAATAACTGGAGCAAACTTATACAGTGTAGCTGAAAAATAAAGCCAGACTAAGGTTCAGAAAGTATTTGTATCTCAGAAGAGAATCATTTTGCACTTCGATAACTATAAAGGGGTTGTTCAGACATAACCATGTGAAACAACGCTTAAGTATTACAAGAATGAGCCTTGGGATTCCATTGCTCCTCCCACTCAGTATATTAGAACTTCTGTTTCTGGGCTGCAGCAAACCATAATGTGCCTGTTGCACTGAAACGGTAAACTGGTTTTCTGCAGCCCCAATTCAGAAGGTTCTGAGCATAATGTGCAATAAAAAGGAAAGTATTGTGCTGCTGCACTAGTGAGAGTTCTTGCCCTGGCTTCCACCAGCACATCCGGTTAGTTGAATGCACCCCTATACCTCAGCATCTTTGCAAGGAGAGTTTGTATCAGTTCTGGAAAAGTGGTGAGACAGCATCCTAAAAGTCACTGGCAACTTAAGTCAAGGAACATCAGACTTTGGCCACAGCAATAATCTTTTGACACCTCTCTTCAAAGCTTTCATTAGGTAGTTCCTTTTCATTGCCAGCATGTACATATAAGCTGTTTTTACAAAATCATTTGCAATCTGTGAAGTTTTAGTACTTTATTTTAAGGCTGAATGTTTTTAATCTGCAGATTGAGGAAGCTCTTGTCCGAAGAAAGAAGATGGAACTTCTTCAGAAGTATGCCAGTGAAGCTCTTATGGCTCAAAGTGAAGAGGCTAAGAGACTTCTAGGACTGTAGCGTGTGTTGAGACAGTTCTGTTTTATAATCCATCCTAAAGCATCCTGGGAGCAGTTGCTTAAAGCACATTGGTTCAGCAAAAATGATGTACTCTTTACAAATGCTGGAAATGAAGGGTGATTTCTTTCCCCAAGCACATTACACTGCAAGCATTTTACTCTGCCCTATTCTGTACATTTTTTGTTTTCAGCTTCAGGAGTCAAAACTCAAAATAACTGGCCAGCTTGTCTTTGAGTTGTCCTTTTCTAGCTGCTTTCCTTTTTGCTTAATTTCTGCTTTATATGGCATTTTCAGTTTCTCTTAAATTAGAAATTAGCATTCAAGTATGCTTCTCCAGTCTCAGTAAAATACAACAGCATTTAGATAAAGCCATATTAATAATAATAATAATAATAATTTATTATTTATACCCCGCCCATCTGGCTGGGTTTCCCCAGCCACTCTGGGCGGCTTCCAACTGAATATTAAAAACAGTACAGCATATTTAGCTGCTCACCCTAATTGCCTACACATTTGGAACAGAATTGAAGGCAGTTGTTGCAGTGTGGTGTTGTTGTTTTTTTAATGTTTGACTTCACAGCAGAACTGAAGCGCTGCACAACTAATACAGCTTTATGTAGCATGCTCAAAGCTCGATGTGAACACCCACTTGGTTGGATTTCTGAAATGCTGGATATTTCAGCAACTAATATTGTAAATACTGTTTCACCTTTGTAATATCACTCGGATCTTTTCAGTAAAACAATTTTTATGTAGACACATTTGTTCATAGTTTTTACTGTGGCTTGAAAATACGTCTGTTTCTTTATGGGTAAGTCATGAGACTAAAGCCTCTTAGCTGCCAGAATCTGCTTTGTCACATGAGCGAGGGAGGTTTCAATAAACTGAGAATCAAGAAATGTTAGGACTCCATAAATCAATACCAATAAGATCATTATCTGAAATGTATGTGCATGGAAACCATTTGAAAGATGTAATATTGCAGGTGAAGCTGGTACACATTTTTATGGGCCATTTCTCCAAAGGAATATTACAGTGCAGTCACTGTGTGTGTTTGTCTTGTATTAGTCCAGTTCACAGGTAAAGCATGGGATTTATCATGACCTACTTTCCTAAAATAGCTTTTACAAACCAAAAAATTATGTAAGCTTGTGTGGCCACTAGTACTCATGTGTCCTTTGTGTGCTTATTGTGGCTGTGAAAGGGAGTTGAACAAGATTTATATTAGGAAAAGTCAACCAAGGAAAAGCATGGGTTGGTTATCCCTGAATTCTAGTGATTTGGCAGCTACCAGCACCTAGAAGACCATTTGTATAAAATGAATCCCCAGTGTTATTTTCAGAACTCTTAATTCCAATGTCTTCAGTTTGCTCTATAGGCTTGTGATCTAGAAACCATCAAACTTGCTCAGGGGATTGTTTAGTATAGTTTCATTCCAAAACACAAAGCATACAGTAAGAAAAGTAGCATTTGAAATGAATGAATGGTGTCCCAAACATCTTAGTCACTGCTATAATGCACCATAACTTTTAGTAGTGCTCTTTCTGTTTTCTACATGTATTTATCCTACATGTATTTATCCTATTCTTGGTTGTAATGCATTTAACATTAGTCCTACACATTGTTGCCTTATACTGCTTCAGTCCCTTGGGTCACAGTGTTTGATTTGTTACAAGTACAGTGGTACCTCGGGTTACATACTCTTCAGGTTACAGACTCCGCTAACCCAGAAATAGTACCTCGGGTTAAGAACTTTGCTTCAGGATGAGAACAGAAATCGTGCTCTGGTGGCGCAGTGGCAGCGGGAGGTCCCATTAGCTGAAGTGGTGCTTCAGGTTAAGAACAGTTTCAGGTTAAGAACGGACCTCCGGAACGAATTAAGTACTTAACCCGAGGTACCACTGTACCAGTTTGGTATGGAATCTATGCCACCAGTCCCTTTTCATTCAGGCAACTTGTGCTTGCTTGCAACATTATAGTAAATAAAATTTAAAAAATGATGCTCTAAAAATCCTTGAAGGAAATACCAGAAGTTTAGAAAACAGTCGTGTGGGTGTAGAGGAGTAATGTATGCTGAAATCCTATAGGATTACTGTAAGGCTATAATCTTTATATACCTGCCTGGAAGCAAATTGTTATTGAACACTGGGTTTTTGTTTTTTAAAAAGAAATACATTGCTGGTCTTCAAGTGGTGGGGCCCAGATCCAAGCTTGGTTGCAACAGGAGGACTACCACCTTGCAGATATAAAGGAAAGGGTTAAGAAAAGGGCCCCCAAATGTGTGTTTGGGTTAAATGTGGGCCCTGGGCCTGAATAGGCTGATGATTACTGGTATACTGTGCATACATAAGATTGGGCTTGAAATGTAGATTTGCATGGTCTGGGACCAGGGAGGTCCTTGCCTTGCTGCTGCAGGTTGCCATTACTCCCATTTCTCCCTCTGCCGTCTGCCTTCCTACCCTTTTGTGTCAACAATGAGCATTAGTGTGGGGAGCTGGAGGCAGAGGATAAGGCAACCAGGCATAATCCATATAAGCCAGTAACCCCCTGCAGCAAACAAAAAAGGGAAAAAAGAGCCAGCATGACCTAATGGTTAGAGCGTTAGACTGATCTGGGGGAGACCAGAGTTTGTTTTTGTTTTTTTTAATATTTATTAGGGTTTAAGAAATCCAAAAAAAAAGAAAAACATACAAAGCTTCAAAAATAGATAAAGAAAAAATACAATAAAAAAGAAACAACAAAACATTATGAAAGAAAAAACAAAAACATTTAAAAAGCAAAAACATTTAAAGAAGAAAAAAGAAAAAAGAACCAGTATTTTCATGTCCTTATCTTTCATTTGCTTATTTCCTTGACTTCCTCTCACCTCCCTTTTTGTATTCTAGTTCAATTAGTTGTTTCAGCAAGTCCTTTCCCTCTTTCTCAAATTTAGTTCCATAATTTATCTTAACGCAATTTAGCCTTAAATTTTACACCTTTACCCATAATCAATCTATTCTTACCTAATTCTTAATAACATTTCTGGGGGAGACCAGAGTTTGAATCCCCACTAAGTCATGAAGCTCACTGGGTGACCTTGGGCCGCTCACCATCTCTTAGCCTTGCCTCCATCACAGGGTTGTTGGGAGGAGCTATAGAACCCTGTCCACCACCTTGAGCTCCCCTTGGAAGAAAAAGGTATAAAAATGTAATAAATAAATAGGAACAAACGCGGACTGGGGGGGGGGGGGAGAAAACACACTGCCTTACACTTGGAACTTTTGCCAAGTGAGGGCGGCGCTGAAGAAGCCGCGGCCTGGCTGGCGAAACGCGGAGGCGGCGAGGAAGCTCCGCGGGGCAAGTCGAGCAGGCTCCACCCCGCGGGGCTGCAGCGTAGGCAGGAGGAGGAGCCGGCGGGGAATGAGGCGAAGCCGGTGTCGGCTGTCGCTGCTGCCCGGCGCGGCGCCGGCGCCCGACTGGACACTGGCAGGAGCGAGAGCCGACGGAGGGGCCGCCGCCGGGCTGGGAAGGGTCCGCCATGAGGGGAATGCTGCTGCTGCCGCCGCTCCTCCTCCGCCGGCCTCGGCCACCTCCGGGACTGAGAAGGCTTTGCAGCGCCGGCGCCGCCTCGGCTGCTCCTGCCGCCCCGGGGAAGAGCGAGACGGGCTCGCAGGTACCTCGCTGCACTGAGTGGGGGTCGGGGGCGCAGGGCTGGAGCTGCTCCTGGGCTTCGGGCAGCGGGCATGGGATGGGGCGGCCTCCCTCCCTCTCCCAGCTTCTTTTTGGAGCGGTTGATGGAGGGATTAGGGTTTCTTAAACTGTTTCTTAAACAAAAAGGAAAGAAAAACGAAAGGAGCTGAGGAGGAGGAGGAGGGAACCGAGAAGGGGGAAGAGGAAAGAGGTCTTATTTCCTTCCTTTGAGGCTTCATGGTCTTAGCTTAGTGCTGTATTAACTTTTAACTTGAGCTGCTGCTTTGTTTGTTTTGTGCTCTTAGTCTGCTCCCTCGCCGCCACCTCCTCCTCCTCCTCTTTCGTAAGTTCCTTGGAAATGCTGATTGGCCACTGAAAGACACCTTTTATGTGAATTAACGGGCTGGAAATTTTTGTTGTTGTGGGGCAGGGCATTTCATTAACCGTTCATTCTTTTCAAGGTACCTGCCTCTTCTTTTTGCCTCTTTCCCCTTCCTGTCTCTTGCTTCCTTCCTTCTTCTTTCTTTCTTTCTTTCTTTCTTTCTTTCATCATAGAATCACAGAATTGGGAGGGAGCCTGGGGTCATCTAGTCCAACCCCCTGCAATGCTGGAATCTCAAAACGCCCATTTGCCATCCAGTTTGAAACCATACTTAACCCTGCTTAGCTTTGCAAATGTGATAGCAGTTTTACTGCTGCACCACTAGGACCTCTCATTTCATCTCCCCACCCCCCCACCCCCAGCATCACTTCTGTTTCCTTTTTTCATATAAGAAAATGTCCATCCTTGTGATGGGATGCTGCTGCTGCACACTTTTGGGTGCAAATCTTCCTCCTAGGGGAGGCAGATTCAACACACGTCTTCTGTGCTTCTGTGTTTGGTCTCTCAAACAAGCATGGGCAGCAGCCAGAGGGAGCAGATAGGGGAGCAGAAAGTGTGTGGTGGATCCTTGAACCCACCTCTAATACATGCTCACCTGGCTTAGCATCAGGGACAAGTACAAAGCCATCTGCCAACTCGACACAACTTTGGGCAGGCAGTGGTTGGGTTTGAACCCCCCTGTGCTGCTTAGATCTCAGTTGGTGAATGGAGTCTGTCCTGGTCATCTTCAACATTGCTTGCTTGCCTGCCTGCTGAGAAGCAATCACTGCCATTTGGCAATCGCTGCTGTGCAGTGGTGAGTTCTCACAATGTGCTAGGGCCTTCGTAGTTGCCTAATGGTGCATACCAGCCTACTCCCCCCCCCTTTCCAGCTTCTTTTTTTAAAATTTACCCTTCTCTTCACCTGTGGTGTCAAGACTGGTCTTAAGCATGTGAAGGAATGAGGAGTCACCCCCTGGAACATGTTCTTTTTCTTGTTAGTACTTCTCAATTCTGGAATGAGAAAGTGACATGGTAGAAAAAGGGCTGGTTCCAATTCCTGTCTTGTTGGTAGATTTTCTGTATGAGTATATATACTAATAGGTTGCCATAGCAATTAATATGTAACTCTTGGCAGTTAAAACACAATCTTCTTGCTGCGCAGAAGCATAATCCAGAATCTTTGGTCATGGAGCACTTTTGCTTTGCAGAACAAATGGGAAATTAAGAATTTGTGGTTGGTGCGGCCTGCCCTCTACTTAAGGACGCTGAGCATG